TGAGATGGTATTAATCGGAGGATCGCTTAATTCGATCCTAAAATGTCTCATTTAAGGGGAGAATGTATCTTTGTTGTGTGCTCCGGGCTACCGGTGAGATTCTTTGGCTAATTTCTCGCTCGTCTGTGACGAATTTCGGATACGAATATGCGTCGTATTAAGTGTTTCTCGTGTTTGAAGCGTGACTAGTGGACGCGTGAATTTTGATTACGAGAGACACTTGTGGAATACATGCTTTTGGGTTAAAAAGTAAAATTTTGTTCCTAACATTGGAAGACTTAGGGTTCAAAAAAATATGTATCGATGGCTCCGTCTCCAAAGCTGAATTAGCCTCTGCCACTGTTAGGTGATGTAAGAAAAATTAGATTACCTTATGCTGGCGAAAGGAAAATTTTTATTTTTATCAAATGTGAAATTTCCTTTGACTTTTTGCCATTTCTTCCATAGGAAATATTTGTCTTCCATTTCATTCACCCTTTGAAACCATTTAACTTGCGTATAAAAATTTCTTCGTGCTACTGTAGCTGGAGAAGATAATTAGGTGGTTTTACGTGGCCCGTCCTGTATAAAAAGAAATTCTGTATTATAAGGGAAATTAAAATTACTGTTTTTTTAATGTCTTGCAAATAGTTCACCTCAATGTAAGCTTTGTTCAAAATTGGCAAGTATGCAGTGATTTATGGTAATTTTTACAGTCTATGAAAGGTCAAATTTGTCGTTCCCCTACTTTCGCGCAGATTAAATTATGTTACAATGAAGTTTTCTCAATATTACTTACGCATCGTGTTTTAAAAAATGATTACTTTTCCAACTGTGTTGCTTCGCTTTCACGCATTGTTCTTACATCGTATTCTTGTGATTTCTTGCTGATACTCGAATAATTTCATACAGAAGACAGCAATGTACAATTATTATGTATTATACATATAATCACTACATATATATATACAAGTCATAATAATTAAATCGTAATTATTATAAATTAATTACAAACATCGACGAAAGCACAATTCAATTCTCTTGTATATTACATCAAGTAACTTAATAATCATATAAATTGCCATATTTAACACATTGTAGAACAAACAAGGAAAAAGTTGCACAATTAATTCTTTGATTAATTAAAAAACTCGTTAGTTTCTGTTATCAGGGAGATTCTGAAATTTGATGAAAATTGCTCAGTTATTACCCAGATAGCACACAGACGTCTTGTGAAAAATCTCTCACTTTTTGTACCTTTTTATTTGAAAAAAGGTACAAAAAACTTTAAATAAATAAAATCATAATAAACTACGTACCTTGTTGATTGTATAGCACAATCTATAAAATACATTAACGTAATAACACTCCAAATATAAAGCTATGCAGTTGAGCCTCTCAGAAGCCAAAATGACGAACTCGACTTTTTGATATTCTTCCAATTTTAATATCAAAGCACATGCTTGGTGCTTAATTTTTCTTAAATAAAACAAATTTAATAAATTTCACTACTAACACTTTGACTTCTGAGCGACTCAGTTAGGAATAACTCTGACACATTCAGATTGCGACATGTGAAGGTATTAAAACAAAAGATACATAGTTTAGATGCAAAAATAGGCGTCATCTGATGAATACTGAAATTTAACTCAATTTTCCTGCCAAGTGGCAAGACGATGCATTTATAGGTTAAGACGTCCAGATTAAAAAATGGACATCTTCTAATTCGTGTGCCATCTGGGTGACATCGTAGAAAATGTAAAAAAAAAGGGGTAGTTCTTCTTTGTTAGTGGATGTCTCTAGCAACCGCGTCGATTATCCTCTGAAACGTAGCACTGTCCAAACCGCAGAACGATCTATCTCGTGGAGAAATGGAGAATACACTGCGTTTCCGTCGACGACGTAATATGTCGTCGAACTCGTCGTCCGTTGCCGGCGGATTCACCTTGGCGTAATAAAGCGCGGCGAAACCACTGTAGATGAGGAGAGCCGCGGTCGCAAGCTATAAAAATGCACATACTTAAGTTATTTCTCATATTTTATATTTCTTGTCCTCTTAATTTTCATTTTGCTTTGTTTCTTTATCGGTATTCAAGCTTTATGCACAGGTTCTTTTTCACTTTGTTTGACTGTCTCGTAAAGTTATTACACTAAGAGTATCCTCTTGAAAACTACTGTTAGGTTTTCGAAACTGAATTTATTTCAAGGCAAACCTTAATTGTAAAAATTTTTCCAACTGAGTTTTTCAAAGTAAAAATGAATTTTTATCTTCAAACTCATTTCTTTCTCGAAAATTCACGCCAGAATAACAAACTATCCGGTTTTAAATCACACTCTGAAAACTTGAGTATTCTCCACTAACAAGGCGCTGCCATAATCAATTTCTAATTACATCACACAATTACTTCATGCGAACCAAGTTTTAAATATGCTAAAAATCTTCTTAGCTCCTTTGTTCAAAGTCAATAACACAATATCGAGGTTTGTAAATTTCTTAACTACCGTTTCGAACAGTTTACGCTTGGAAATGGAGCATTGAACTTTCCGAGTTAGTAAAAAAATTAGATACTTAGAAAAATTTCTACTTTCTGTCGTTACTTATGTATCCCGAATCTTCGGTAATTACGTTTCTCGACGCTGGAATGTGATGCTGTGAAATTCGTGATACACATTCTACTTCCTTTCGAAAATACGGCTAATCTCGGTTATTAAATTCGCGGCATGAATAAGCGGCGAAAACCACATACAAACGCGGAAGTGTAATACCGTGTGGAAAACCTTGTACTATATAACCGTTTATTGGCGTGAAAATTTGTTTGCGGTTGCGTGTAACTGTTGTTACCAGTTTCCGACATTTTTCTGTTCAACTGAACCCGTATTGCAGTATCTCGATTATCACCAGTTCAATATTATTACTTTCGTCTACGAATAAGTATGCAAATTTTTTTCACTAGTTTCAAATTTTTTCAAACGGCCATTGTAGATAAATTTAATTACGATTTGATGCAAAATGCAAGTGTAATTTGTTAGTGTATCAATAAACCGTATTTTATTTTTAATTTTTGTACGAATTGTGAATACTTTATTCGGAAGTTTCTGTTCAACGCAATTAGAAGAATTTATTGAGACTTACTTGAAACACTGCCCAAAATTTGTAACTTCCCTCGTTTATCAGAAAATCATAGTAGCCGCCCCAGTAATCAACTTTAGCCTGCCCCATGGCTTTCATTCCGTTCTCTTCCTCTTTTGTCATATGATCGTCGTGATGATCGTCGTGATGATCGTCGTGATGATCGTCCTGATACATCGATCCACGATCTTTACCGTAACCGCGTCGGTTCATTCTTGGTTCTCTAACCGGAAATGGAAAAAGAAAGACTTTTAGGAATTTGAAATATCGTGATGTCTGTATTTCAATTAATCCTTTCACTGCTACTGCCGCCTATTTTTTGGCGCACTTTCATGTTAATTCAAGCCTTAATTTTATCCACCTTAATTCAATGAAACAAAAAAGAAAAGATTTTGCAACAGTTGGGGAAAAAATCTGCCGCAGCGAAAGGGTTAATAAGGAACAATTTGCAACGACTTTATGCCGGTTACCTGTACATTCGCAGAGCTGTATCGATCGTAGAAGTTTCCTCGTCTTCGTTCATTTCCGGAAATGTATCAGTTTCATCGAAGATAGTGTCACTTGTCGAGACATGAGAAATGAAAACAAGGAATAGAAGACAGCGGCAGACTAAATGCGTTTCTACTCTATCTGAAATATAGGAGTTTCTTTTTTAAAATTACCATTCGGAACAATCGATTTTTGCGCACACACTGAACACGGAATTTTTAATAAAGGCTTCTTACCTGAGGTTTCTAAAAACAGATAAATGTTTGAGAGTTTTTCTCATAGATAACCACCGAATGAAAAGTTTCAATTTCTTCAGAGTATACAAATACAGCTTTCCACTTTTCTCTCCAATTTTTACAAAGTAAAAATGTTACAAATTCGAAGAATTATTGCGAAATTTCTGGCACCATCGCTGGCAAGAAAACCAAAAATTCTTTTCAATTTATAAATTTAACAAAACTGAAAGTAACATTTATATCCTCAAAAAAAAAAAAAAAAAAGAAAATTGAAACCCTCCATCTAATAATTACCCACAATAAAAATTCCCAAACTTTACCTACTTTCTGACGCCTCAGGTTGGCGTATCTCCTTAAAAATGATCTATACAGAACAGTATATCTACCCATAATTTAGTTTTCTCTTCGATGACACGAAACTCTTCAAGGTACGGTCGTCGTTGTTCGAAAAATAGCTCGTCTTATTCCTTTCATTCGTGAACAGGTGTCTGAGTACACTTTTCGTCGATGTCTCACCGATTCATGGAAACGATAACGATTCACCACCGGCCAGTACGTCGATACGAACGTTCATTCCTCGTATTTGCTGTACGTGAGTTCACCGATCTCTATGGCACGTGTACCGTCTGTTCGAAGTCTCGTTTCGTACCAAGTCTGTCAAAGACATGAACCTCGGATAGAGAGGAACCGTCGGTGATAAAATCCAAGGAGTAACTGAACGATTTGTGGGTCCAGTTTAAACATACTGTTCGGTTACCGGTAACTGTATCACCAGAAACGTTAAGCAAATCCAGCGTGTAGCGCTAAAAGCACTAATTGTTACAACTCTTACGTATCGTCCCGTCGTCTAGGAAGATTTCAGACGGGAATTCGGTTATAGATCATCGATCACACTTGCTCAGTTTCATCGATGATCGATTATCACGTTTCTCAGGGCACTCGGCGCTTTTATTTTGTTTTTCAATTAGACAGACCGAGAATCTGGTTCGAAGCAATTAATTTCGCGTGGGTTTGTTTAATGGAGATTTAGAAATTGACATATTTAATTTTTGTTCTTAGTATCTTACATATGATTTAATTGAGGGAAGAGAGACAATTTTTAAAATATTTTATTTCGTATTTGATTTAATTTTGAATGTCTTAATTCAGTCAAATTGAACATTTATTAAATAGCTTTCGATACATGAGAGCACTCTAGAGAATAAAATTAATATTTATCGAGATAACGCGATATTTGTATCGAGAGAATTCTTCTAAAGTGAAATTAATTTTATATTAAACGAATTCATTAGCAGAAACAATTTTAACAAATTGCAATTTCTGGTTTTATTGTTGCACTCAATTCTGACAATTTTAGAGGATCTTATTGATCAACGTTTGGTCTATTGAACGAAGCAAAAGTGCAGTAGCAAGCTATTTCTATATTGTCGTTATTTCAGTCAATTTGAGCAGTTAGCTGTTTTCGAACCGTAACGAGTATTTAACCGCAATAGGTGCGAGCAGCAAATTGACGGAAAGTTTCTGTAGCAAGAATGGAATTTTTGATTCTGCCGAGAGAACTAACTCACAGCCGTCCAAGGTACATATCTAGGCAAAGGAAACATAAACTTCAGGTCATTTAGCCGAAGTACATCCTCCTACGGTATTAGGCCAGGTGATTAGCATGTTCTTAAGCAAGTCCCGTTGAAACAATACTCTAAACCGGCGATAATCGTGACAGATGTTTTTGCATGATGCAAGTTCAGTTAGAAATGGGCGTGGTGCCTGGCTTCTTCGCCTCTTCCGACGCATTTTCCTTCTCGTTTTAATAACAGAGAAACGACAACTTTTGATACTTCGAGAATCGATCAGATTTCGAGGAACTTCCGAGTGAAAATTAGCAGTTGAACCGACTTTTTTCTACTCAGTCATAGCTACTGCTCAGAGTTGAGCGAGTATTTGAGGCATGTTTGGGTCGTTAGAAAATTATAGAAATGCACGAATTGAAGACTAACTTTAACAACAGTTTCGAAAAATTTTCATATTTTAGTTCAAATGAAACTAATAGCTTGTTTGGCTGTAAATGATGTCGACTAAATTATTTTTCGAGGACTTTTTTGTTTACAGTAGAAATTAGGGAATTCCTTTGTTACTGTGAACGAGTATCGTTAATATTGTTAAATTTTTGAAATTATTAGTTAAAATTTTTCGAAACTATTCATTCTAATTTTGTATTTAACTTTTACAATTTACATCCATATTACCTAATTAATGTCCTGCAAGTTTAAAGTCAGCGAAGTATAATTCGCTGACAGTTTCCAGAGCAAGAAAGAAAATAGAAAAATAATTTTCACAGCGAATATTCGGTGAAGTAATTCATATCTGCACATTTTTCCGTGAAACGTGAAAAAGAGCGTTCGCGTTAAAGGACGATTGTTATGTATAAAATTCATCATACCCGCCGGAATTCCGCGAAAGTGTAATATGAAAGGACACTTCGTATTCCTGCTACGTAACGAAAGTCAGAGAGGATCATACGTGGAAAGAAAGCACGGATGACAGTGGGACCGAAACAGCGTAATTGGTCAATCGGAATGCGAGACCATCAGAATTCCCGTGTCGTTTTCAGTAATTCTTTCGATTCCGCCGATACTGACAAATTCCGGCTCGTTATCCCGCCAAAAACTCGCATCACCACTCGTGGCGCGAGCATAAGAAGCAGTCATAACCGAATACGCCTGTTCCTCGGGAATTTAGGAATCGAGCGTGCGCCAACATTAACATTCGTACAGGTTTTGGCTGGCTCGCGAGGGATCGAGTAAATCGGCGAAGAAGAAAAAAAGATCGTCGATGGATGTATACAATTTTCTTTTTTTCATGCGAACTTTCGTTACATTTACAGGTAATCTTTAGATCTAAAGTTGAGATTATTCGTAAGGTTCGATACGATGAGTGGTTTTACTTCAATCAGTGAAATTTATTATTTTTATACGTTTTAATAAATAGTGTATTAGATTTTTTAAATATTTACAGAAGACGTAATTAATAACAATATTTACACGTACAAAATCGGCGATTGTAAAGTAATTTTTTTGAAAAGTTAAGGATTGGGACAGTTTCTTCATCTTGCTTCTGTTGGTGTAATGTAAAAATAGGAGAACTATATATTATCACACGTATAGTGTATCTATGTTGTCAAAATTCATCAACGTCAATTCTCACCAGCGAATGATGTCATAAATCATCGCATTTTTTTTTTTTACAATCTTTCTACATGCATTCAAGTTTACCTATAGCTATGATCGATGCAGCATATTCTTGCAAATTTGCATTTTTCAATCCTTTACAATGACAAAATGCACAATTGGTCAATTAATTCTCAGGGAATTGATAATGAAGAATTTCTAACGATTCTTGTTTCCCACAACGTGTTCGAATTTCAATGATATCAAACTTAACCGTAGCAATACTACATTTTAGAGAGTATACTCAATAATACTTGCTCCAAAAATCATATACACTATCGTCAACGTATTTTTAATGGTCGTCGAAGGCAGACAGTCCAACGCTTTTTAGCTTTCGAATGATTTACGACAAGGACACATAGCTATCAGGTGTCTTAGGAATGATTGGTCGCAAGAAGCATAATTGTGTTTCGAGGATGACAAATAGTCCGAAGTTGCTTTATCTAAAAGTGTAGAGATATTTTCCTGAGAGAAATGGAAGGAAGGAAGGCACTTACATACTTCAGAACCATAAAAGGTTGGAAATCTCTACCAATTTAACTTATCGAAATATTAATTAAAACAAAGAAGGGAACAGAGAAATTACAGTGAATCCCCCGTGTAGGTTCCAAGATCTTCCGAGCATAGTAGCGAACGCTATATATTAGTACATACTTATGGTAAATTTATTTATTAAGCGTAATATAATAATTAAAGTTAGGTGATAATGATACAATGCCTGTGATGTGATGAGATGAAATGAATGACGTAGATGATGCGATGTTTTATTGTTGATGTTGAACGATCATCTGCTTCGGGTGATGAAGTTGAGTATTTAAGAATTTGAGGATTTAAGAATTTGAGATTTTAAGAATTTGAGAATTAAAAAATTTGAGATTTTAAGAATTTGAGAACTTGAGAATTAGAAATTTTAAGAATTTGAGAACTTGAGAATTAGAAATTTTAAGAATTTGAGAACTTGAGAATTAGAGATTTTAAAGATTTGAGATTTTAAGAATTTAAGAATTTAAGAATTTGAGATTTTAAGAATTTGAGATTTTAAGAATTTGAGATTTTAAGAATTTGAGATTTTAGGAATTTGAGATTTTAAGAATTTGAGAATTTCCTCTATAACTTCTTCAAACTGCGGCCAACCACGGACACCTGAAACCGCGGATACCGAGACCACTAAGACGGCAGATTCCCTATACTCGTCAAATCACTCTAAGAAATTCTTGCATACTTCTCGGTGAAACCCTCGATACTCTGTAGAATATCGCCGGTGAAATCCCACCAGCTGAAATCGTTATACGATCTAGAGTGTCCCACAGCTTCCGCCAAATGAGCGGGGAACGTGATCTTGTGCCTGGCTATACTCTTCAACACCAGTGCCGCGATGTAGATGACAAAGTAGATGCTGAAGTATAGCGGAACGTACCACAGCTTCTTCCCTATGAAGTAGTACGAGTACGGTCTTTTGTCCAGTCTTTGATCGTTCATTTCTGGCGGCTCGGTGTGCTCGTGATATTCTGGAATGTGATCATAGATCAGCTCGTGATCGAAGTCGTGATGGTGGCCGTAAAAGTTGTCGCCGTTGGGCTCTTCGTAGGAAGGATGATCCAGATGACCGGAATACTCCATCGGTTTCGGTGATGCGTCATTGTTGTACGACGTGTCCGGAGGATAATCGTGGTAATCGGACTCGGGGTCGTGAGACGAGTAGTAGGAATCCAGTTTGTAGGAATCTGGTGGCTGAAAATCATCGACTAAGTCACCTTTGCTCTGGGCTGCAATGATTTTCGTTGAAGCAAGTATGAAGCAAGAATGTAAAATTTGAAGGCTGGATCATTGAGAGCACACAAAGAAATGATTCTTCACCTCAATTTTCAAAAATGAAGTTTGGTAATGGAAGGTATGAATCATATAATCTCTCATAATCTTTGTTTACAATATTGAAAATCATTTTCTATAAAAATCTGATATTCTACAATTTCTGTACTTACTATCGACAAACTTTCGTTTAATTCGTGAGTAATTGTTTTTTAGTGTATCTAACGTATTATTAATTATGGTAAAAAATTTTACCCACGTTTGTTTTTATGAATGTGTATTTGGAAAAGGGAATAATTGACGAAAAGTGTGGATTCGATTATAAAGGCAGGTAGGATATTTTGATATTCGAAAGATGTACCTTGTCACTTATCTCCGAATCAGCGTAATCGTCCATCGATATCGGCTTCGAGATGGGTTTGTCATTGAGGTAATCCGGCGGCTTCGAAATCGGCTTACTGCTCAAATAATCTGGCGGCTTGTAGTCGTAGCTCTCCGAGAACGTTGGCTTGGAAAAGTCAAACATACTCGAGGATGATGGGCTGGTGGGTGGAATATTTGGACGACTGACAGATTTCGAGGAGTCCTTCGTGTCACTCGGTGGATCTTTGTTTTTGAAGGAACTCAGCGGCGCTGGATGATACCTATCCTGAATCTGTTTCTTCTGGTTCAATTTCGATAACATTTCGTGGTCCAATGTCGAGTATCTATAAATTTAACATTCTCGATACTTAACGAATAATTTACATTTCAATATTAAAAACCCTCAAATTTAAGCGTATCTCAATTCCTCTCCACCTGCCGGAATATTCAATTTTCTTTTACCTTGCTGGAGAATAATTCACCGCTTCGCCATTCTTCAGGTTCGGGATTTTCGGCGGAATGTACACTGGTGACATAGTGATGGCGATATTTTTGATACTTCTAGATTCACTCTGCGTTCCATTGCTTCATCGAACAAAAAGACAAATGCATCACGCGAGTGTGACAATATCGATCTCAAAATCCTAACTCGCAATTAATCAAGGATCTAACCTGACGATCCAAGTTACCGAATCCTTTCTATCCTCCGTCTCCTCTTGGCCGTTCTTCGACACTTTCGCATACGACGTGACTGGAGGCAAGACCAACAGACTCACCGAAAGCAACGAAATTAATGCACGTATCATCTTCCGCAGTAGCCAGAGATGAATGTTTGAGGAACTCTGTCTTCGGTCTCCTATATAGACTCCTAACTGTACCTCTCGAACAACGCGTCGCTAATTTATTGTCCAACGTCATTTTCACCTGCTCCAAGTACATTTAACGTCGCTTCAAAATTTCTCCCCACCGGTCGATGGGAAGTTTTTCAAGAAAAATTTCAGGTTCTCTATTCAGATTCTTTCTCTGATTCATCTCCGACCGATTCTTTTTGTCCATCGATTTTCCACATCGTCGAGGTTTCTTCCGGGGACAAAACATTTTCCATGCTCGGTGAACGTGTTAATGGAACAGAAGACGAGACTTGACAAAATCTTCCTAAACTGTTTTGCAAATTATAACACCGTTACGAGGTGATCCACCGTGCAAGAAACGCGATCAGGAAGGAAACGAGCTGTCCTCTCGATCCGTCCTTGACCGGAAAATAACCGTTGTGCTACATAAACGCGTTTTACCCTGCCAAGTTATCTATCGGTACCTTTTTTCCTTTTTTTTTTTAAATAATGTTTAATACGTCGTTACGAAATAAGTATCTCTACCGAGATGTAACGAGGGGAGGGAAAAAGGTAAACGTGGAGAAATAAGGAAATAGTGTCGGTTATTTGTATTTTCTTTTATTGTTTTTTTTTTCTATTTCAACTATGCTGCGAGACGAGGATACCTTGCAATTATCCTGTTCGTAAACGATGTAATTCGGCTATTGTACATTATGTGCGCTCGTAATTACGCGCTATTTCCTACATAATTATATCACATGATTCCGTTCAACAACTATCATTACCTTCTTATTATTTAACAGTTTTTATAATACGCTGCGTTTCTGTTCGTTCCGATAGGAGGCAATTTTATAATAATATATTAATTATCTTTCTTCCTTGGTTTTTAGTCTCTTTTTAATACGTAACTGATTTATACACACTATGCTTGTACAAAATTGTATAAAATATGTGGAAGTTTTTTTTTTTTTTTTTAATTTGTAGAACTAGGAGCAATGTTTCGTAATTCATACTATTAGAGATGTTCAAACGTAAGTGGTAGTCTTTTAGGAAATAATGATCACGTCTTATTAGTGCTGCAATTAATAATGAATATTCTAATATTGAGAAATATGAATATTTTAATATTGTCATTAGCATTTACTTTTTCTCGCATTTTCACTAATATTTTCATTCATCTATAATGTTTTTAATTTCTTCATATGAAAGCTACCAATATTCTTTAACGTTATTATTAATATCGACGCCATTCTTTTGGCGCAAGTGACAAAATTTTTATTTCTAACGACACTGAAACTTTTTCTATAACCGAATATTTGTCTGCAGTGCAACATTTCACAGTTTTCTAATTTAAATTACGTTTTGTAAATTGACAAAAAATTTTAAAAAGTACCCAGTCGTTTAAACGAACTACCTTGCATTTAAAAATCTCTAACAACATTCATCGTATGAATACAGATTGTGAGGAATCTTTCTTTTACCAACGAGTACAGTATTTTGATATAAAAACAACTTACAAGTAGTCGCGTTGAATCGTAATTGCTGTGATAACAATGACAAGATTGCTCTTTTTATCGAATTCAATGCTTATGAATATATGTCATTCTCTATTTGCTTCGACATATTTACACGGTATGGATTTAGTACACTTTTCTTTTTTCAATAATAATACCATTATGGTTTTACGCGACTACTTAGACACGTGTCTGATGCATTTGTAGTTTCATTTTTATTTTAAACTATTTCACAGAAAATATATATAACATTCTTGTAACAACAACAAACATACTTGTTCTGCATGATTCAACGAATTTATACCACTATATATTGCAATTACATCTATCGAACTTACTGTAAAATATTATCTCGTTACTTTCTTCGACACTTCTTACGTACTTTTAGATCGATATTACTTTGTTCTTTTTATGTTACTCTACGAAGACGAATATGTATAAAATAGAGATTTCGTGTTATTCTAAGCTTATCAAGTAGAATATTACACGTGAAACCGTTATATCTGCACGTTCTCGAATGCTAAAAATAAGAATGTATAATAAAATTAACTCGACATTTAACATTGTGTGAAGTACATGCACGATGTTATTTGTAATATTATCAAACACTCCCGAATAATCTTCCAGGGTAAGATCGTACAATGGATAAATAGATTTGAAAACATTGTACGTAGTACTGTTTGTAATTATTTGAACAATAACTTGAAATGTAAAATTTTGCTTAAAAATTTCGTTGCCAATATTCTCGTGGGATGATGAAGATTCAGCTGTTGTTTTGTAAACCTACAATCACAGACTAATGTTAACTCCCAGACTGTGGATGGCGGGTCAAATGTGACCCAGTCTTTTTCCTATGCAAGCGAAACCTAATTTTTTTAAATTTTCCTAGGCATTATATCGTTTAAAATTATACAAATACGTATATTTTTAACGTAAGGAGAGGAGAGTCGTAATTCTGTTTCGACATCTAAAAGCTGGGTCAACAGTGACCCGGCCTCAGACATCCGAAGGTTAATAATTAAACGTATTTCAATTGCAATTATATTTTTTGACGATAAGTCTACTGTTTTCTACGAATTTCACGATACTATGTAAGAAATATTACTGGCTACGTTAGAAGCAATTGGAACCAATAATGGAAAACTTCGAATGCTATATTAAAATTAATATGTTTGAAGAATTATCAACAGTACCATACTTTTTTCCACTCAACCCTCAATTATACGCAAAGTGTACAAGCTTTCTATGAACATGAAACTGCTCCATATTTCTGTCATCTCCGTTACTAATATACCTCGCTTAAATACCTTCTCAGTGACGTGAAAATAGTCTCATAGTGAAGAACAAAAAAAAAAAAGAACAAGAAAGAAAAGAGTATCGAGATCTCTAGAGGAACTTCTCCACTTCGGTATTTTCCAGTTATCTCTCGACTTTGGTCGCTTTCCAAGCTTGAATTCGTCGCGCAATTTTGTCATCGAGCATTCTTCCATTTCTCTCGATCACATCTTCGTCAGTTCGAATTTGATTTTTAGCTCTGAATTTCTTTGTTTTTCTTCTGACGGCGTGTTTTCTCGATTTCATCAAGGTTGCTCGCGTTTCTTAATGGCCACTGTGCTGTTCCTTCTGTTTCTCTTCGATTTCTTTCCTTCGGTTTCTAGTTTGTTCCGTATTTCCCTCTTTGGTGAAGGCTTGATTGTCGACTCCAATCTCCTCCAATCCGATATCGAGACCGTTTTGATTTTCCACGTGTTTCGGTTTCTTTTTCACGATATCGTTCCCTTCGACCTGCGGCCGCTTTTTCAGATACGCTACGTTGAAGATGTAGTACATTATACCGGTGATAAGAGTTACCACTGCGAAGATTCGATAGGTCGGTCGAGTGCCGTAGGCTTTCATCAGGTAACCACCGATCAAGCTTCCAGAACCCTTGCCTGATAATGTTAAAGGGTGATTATTGCTGGATTATTTTATTTCATTTTTTGCGGGGAGATTCGTTTGCGTCTTTCTTTCTCTTGGAAATTCACATTTTCGCACACATTATGGAAATTTTTTAAAATAAAAATGTTTAAATTCGATGGAATTATGTTTTTTTCGAAATGAACGGTTTGAAACTGCGGGAACATTCGGAGTGACAATCAGTAAATTATCTTAAGTAAGTTGTAATTTCGATGCAAGAATAAAATTTGGAGAAACTAACACACGAAAGAAGAAAAATGATTGCGCTAAGATAAGAATAGAGGAAATGTTTTAAAAGCTATAATAAAATAGACAAATTTAATTTTCACGTATCTGAAGAAAGAGCAGCAAATAATAAACATGGTTATCAGATGGAAGATAATGAAGTAATGTGTGCAGCAATGAAAAAGTGGATTCTGTTGTAGATAAGTTACTTGACAAAAAGAATTAGTTACGATCAAATAAACACTTATTGTACTATGCAATTAAGCACTCACCAACGCCATAATAAACTCCCCCTAATAATCCCTGTATCGAGCTATCAGTAGTGGTGGTGGACAATTTCGCTGCGTAAGTAACCGCAGCAGTAAAACTAAGCGATAAAGTGACGGATTCTAATGCCTCGAAAATAAGAGTGTGCCAAGGATTGTATATTAGAGAGTAACCTGTAAAAAGAAACAAACGTAAAGTCATAACTAAAATTTCATAGTAAAAAAATATATTTTTGGTACCATAAGAAACATGCTTTGAAATCAACTCTAAATTCCATCGATACCATCAAATATAAAATGATCTCAAGTAATTTTGCTGCTAATTATTCTTTAAATTTCACTGCACCAAAAATACTTCAAGAAGTAGAAGGTATTGCATGTTGCAAGTACGAATCGACAAAGCAAAGACGAGGCTTCAGGGACTTGAAATTAAAAATCATTTGAATACACCGTAACTTCCCCATGAGTAGGATCGAAGAGTAGCGAGGATGGACCGGCCCATTTCCCCCTCATTTGGTCAGGCGATGACGTCAGAAGCCTGATCTTTGCTTTGCCAATCTATACGTTTATTACGAACACCGTGCAAGTACGGTGGGACGCTTAAGAATGAAAATGAACGCTTACCACAAAGTCTTATGGCGTAAAAAACGAAGCCTATAAAAAGTACATTGGCATGGCCGATCTTTGATATGATTGGACCAGATAGTACCAGTAATGGTATACCGGCTATACCGCCTACGGTTATGGTGATACCCATGAGTGATCTTGATCCTCCTAAATCTTGTATCAACCAAAAGAGGAACGATTCGATGTATCCCCAAGCAGTTCCTGTAGCAACAAAAAATTATCTTCTAAAATTTATCAGTTTATACGATGGTTCGTTGTATTTAAACTTCAATCGAAATATTGTTTAAAGGAACTTGTAGTTCTTGGATCAATTTTATTATTGATAATTGCGTTAAACTTGATTAATTTGGTTTATTATTTCTACTAATTAATTTTGTACTGATTATTAACTCTGCCCATCTCAGGTGTCTTGAAAATTGACCATAGTTTATGTAGAAATATTACAGTTAAAGGATCGATCTATTTATTTCAAAGAAACTATTAAAATTTTCTGCAAAGAAAAAGATTGTTATTAAAAATTATAAAATTATTTAAGCAATCTTGTTGAACAATTTTACAAATGAAAAACATACGTTCAAAAATTCGTCCAAATATTTTAACAAATAACAATAAAAAGGCAGAACGATTCGTCTGAAAATAAATTGCATCGGATGTGACCACGTAAATTCGTGGCATTTATGCAGAATGTGAGTATCACTGCAATTTCGTTAGTTGATCAGTGTGCCTAACACAATAAGGTTAGCGGAAACAGGCAATAACGAAGCTTGTGTAACTTATACCCAGCGTGCAATTTTGCAAGCTCGTCACCCGATCTCGCAGAATTTGAAAATCCTGCGAATAAACTTCACTCTATTTCTTTTTTTTTTTATTTTTTAGCTTCGCATCGACTGCTAAAAGTCGAGAACAAATTTTCTTTTATCGAATTTGGAAATCCTGCGACACCTCGATTCTTTTTTTTTTTTAAATTTTTAGAAACTTGCGTCTTTTAGAAAAATCTCGATTTTTGATTCTCGAAGAAGCACGGATCGCTTACCGAGAATAAAGCAGGCGATGAAGAGGGCTGCAGCTTCGACATTCCTTAGCACGGTGGAAACGTCATGAACCACGTTTGTGGACGGTGATTTGAATTCCAAATTAATGGCGAGCATCAGCAGCCCCGAGACAAGTTTTAGGCCCGCATACAGATAAAATGCCGGCCTGGAAAATTTGTATTCATATTGCTCCATTGTGTTCTACATATGACGGTGAAATTATTACGAATTTTTTTCGTTGAACAAACTTTCATTGTGCGATGAAAAAGAAATAATGAAAAAAGAAAAGTGATAAATTTCCGAAAATTAATTTCTTTCACTAATGAATATTATCATTCGTCATTTTATCACTTCGAAGAAATTTCAATATTTTCCTATATTTAAAGCGACAAGAAATTTGACGATTATTTGAGATATTCAATGATTGTTTTCAAATTATAACAAGAAGCGCTTAAAATGGCTAATTAAGGCTCCATTTTCTTCGATGACAAAATTAGGGACGTTTAAAAAAATATACTTTTACCTGAAATCCGTGTAACCCTTGCCATAACTCGCATAATCGATAAGAAGTCCAGAGAGCGGCGACGATATTATACCACCAATACTACCATAAATCCTTTGAAGACCATAATCAGCTTTTTGTTCACGCAATATGGCGATTACCGCTCCCTCGAACATAGCAAACGTAGTACCACCGATGACACCTGAAAATTAAAATTTCATTCGTGTTATTTCATTGTGTGTCAAAAATCTCATTTTTGAAAAAATTTATTACGTCGATTATTGTAATTTTTCATCGATGTATACGAGCAGAATTTCAAGAAATTTTGTAGATATTTTAAGTTTAATGAAAATCTTAATTTAAAGTATGCACACTCAACGTAGTAATTTTGTAAAAATATACCTTAATAAATTTAGAATTTCATAATTAAATATTCTCATCTAAAAATACCATTACTTTCGTATTCACTGTATCGTAAAAAGTGAATATTACGCAAACAGAGGATAATTATCAATTCAAAAGGATTTAGTAACTGTACTTTTCGATCAAAAAATAATCAAATTTTTTTGCAAACAGTTATGCAATCTTACGTGTCCCTTTTTGCACTGTAAACAGGTTCCAGTTTCCAAGTGTCTTTGCTATAGAAAATTGCAAATCCTGCCATGTGGATACAAACTGGTTTTCCAGTTTCTAATAACCACAAATTCTGTACCATTACCATATACACATACACAGGCTAAATATTGCAATGAGGTAATATTTCCAATGAAATGTTCACTGGAATTGTTTGTAATTGTTCGAGAGACGAATTGTAGATACTCACTGATGAACACCCTGACGGCGAAGTATAGCCAGAAAGTCAGTCTTATGTTGTATTCGATCACCGTATCGGTGTTCGAGCACATTTCCTGCCGAGGTGCAGTAACAATGCACCTTTTGCTGCAGTCTTCCGTGTTCAGGATCTCGTAAGGCTCCGAGCTTATAGAGTAATTAAAAAGTGGTAGAGTCAGAACGATCCTGTCGGTCTCCAAACTAGAATTTCCACAGGTGATTTTCTGAAATTCCATTTCAGTCCACGCCATCTCTTCCGCCAGGTACCTCTGCCGATTCATTTCCCGATCTTCATCCGTGATCTCCAAGCTTTTCAGTTTGGACTTGTACGAGTGATAATTTATCGCTTGACTGACGTTATCCTGAACATTATACACATGATACGGAAATTAATGAGAAATAACGACTGAAGTATAAGAAATTAATATACGGAGTGGTTTTAGGGAAAAGGATCCAAGACTTTAGAGGCCTGTAGTTCTCATCCAGAGGAGTGAAAAATGCATAGTCAACGTAGATCCTAAAATCAATTATTTCGATACAAAATTTACTTTTGTATTTATGAGCATTCGATGTCATAAGTGAGTCTCTTCGCAAATGTACACAGTATAAGTGAATAATAAGTGAGTCTCTTCGCAATTATATTTTACCTTATGAGTTACGATCGGTTTGAAAGCGCAGAGAGTACGGTTTTCGTACATTTTCTTCGACATGGTAGTGTCTAGGGTTGACGAGTAGAAATCTTCGACAAAACCTGAAGGGGTGCACGAGAACTCGTAGAGCTGGTTCGATGGAAAGAAGTACTCGTTCTTGGAGAACTGTCGTATCGACGTTTTGAAGTTCTCGTTGTTCTTTAACTTCCGGTGCTCCCTCAGATCTTGTTCTTTTTCCTGTAAAAATTGTACCGACTGAATCTGAACTACTGTTGCTTGCTTTTATTTCTCTTCTTACAAGGGAAGTTCGACAACTCGAAAATTCCAAAGAATTCGAAAGAGAATGGTCCTAGGAGTGAAAACACACCCACAAAAAAATTGTGAGCTTTCAAAAAACATTATTTTTTTTTTTTCAAAATTTACCATCATTTTTCAATTTTTTTTTAATTTTCGGGTTATCGAACTTCTTTTGTTAGTGAACAAAATCTTGAGCCAAATCCTCAACGACTAAGTGTTTCAGAATTTATCAAGATATAGTTTAGAAATTTAGTATGGCTAAGTTATTTCCTTTTCTTCTTTGAAAATTCTCAATCGAACACATACTAATGAGAATAAAATTAATTTTTGCATCGTCAAGTTACTATTTCACCATCAACGATCAAAACAATGCATACTTGTGGCATGTCTTCTTGAGGGATCGAAAACTTGAACAAGGAATTCGCACCCGTTTCCGTGTCGTGTCGGTTGATCGAGTACATCCTTGATGAGAGAATTGACTGTACTTCGGTGTCATTATAAGTGTCTAAATGGCACATGTAACTGTAAAATAATAAAAAATGAAACTTTAGTTACATTATGTTCCTTCAAAAATTAATATATTTTATCAGAATAATTTCCACACGATTCTATACACTTGCCCCAACGATTAACTAGCTTCGTTATTCCAAATCTATAAAAACTATTAATTTTTAAATGACAAAAATTCTTTCGCAGTTTCTTCAAGTTTAAACTTACGTAAAAAAAATTATTTATATTATATGTATCAACTTTTTTACTATCCAGTACATCTGTATTACAGAAAATTCCTTCTTGACTATTTTGTACAAAAATTGACGATCGAACAAAATTTAATAAACTGTCTAATCATCAGCTACTCGTTCGAATAGAGGTAGAAGCGTTCGAACTCGCATCCTTACCTACCCGCAACTCTCTATCCTCGTGAAAATCTTGGGCTGCAAGCTCGTCTCGCAAGGATGGTTCTGGCTCATCGTGTAAAGCAGCCCGTTATTATTCTCTGCACAGCTGAGGTCCATAACGACTCTGTCTGGTAATTCCACGGTTATCCTGCCTAGCGGCACGAGCAGCAACAAAGGTGCCGCAATTCCTCCGAACAATGAGAACAGAGATAGCAAGATCTGAATGGAAATATTGTTTGAACATCAGATATCTGTTTCCTCCACTTTCGCTTGATTGTGTCGTGACAAAATTCGAAAGTAGAATAGCGTTTGTATGTCAGTGAGTCGGAAGGGAACAAGTTTTGGACATGTTAAATTTCTGGATCTTTCTTTTCTCTGATTAATTTTTTTTCAAAAGAATTTTTTAGCGAAATAAACGTTTAATGAAAATTTACTTTGAAATTTCCCACACGATCTGCGAGCATTCCAGCCAAAGGTGGCATCACCATTGCGATCACCGGCGTTATCGCGCTCATTATGGCAGTCTCCTCCACGTTTATCCCGAGTTCCCTCATGTGTATCGTCAAGTATGGATAAAGTACATAGAGCGCTGAAAAATGATCGGACACATGATTAAATTAGCGTGCAATACTTGGAAAGACAGTAGACTCGTAGAGCAGCTAATCACGTCACAAGTTTAATAAAGTGACTTCAAACAATACTTACTCGATGCTTGAACGAAGAATATCATTTTAAGAGGTAGCAGCTCCTTGTGCCGGAAGTCTTTGATAATCCTCCGGAAAAAACTTTTGATCAGCATCATCTTGCCGTTTAAGAATAACGATCAGTCGAACAGGACCGTTTTGTAAGTCGTAACAGCGAATATTTCCAGTCAGATATTAAGAATGGCACCAATCGCTACGCATACTTTTTGACAATACTGCGTCACCGTTGCATCCTTCTTTTTTTCTACTGAAGAAAAAAATTCAAAAGAAACCTTACTTCATTTCTAATACATTGACACATTATTTTCTATGCTCTCACACACGTATTTTCGAATATTCGTTAAAGTTGATTAAATACCTTGACAAACACTGTAAAAAAAAGAAATGTTTGGTACTTTCTTTGAAGAAGGATCACAAACGTGACTTACTTTTGACCCTGTTTCAAACGAATATCTGCTTAAATAATAATACTGTCCCTATTTCTCAGCGCACAAATCAAAAAAATTTTCTGTCACAAATGGTGTCACTTAGGATAACGAGAATCATCCTTCTTCGAGATAATCTTACGATGTTGCATCGAGAAAAAGATACAAGCAAACCTAAAGGAGGAGCGATCAGTTTCGACGCAAAAAAAAAACAAGTCGAAGTTCACCGAGCCGATTGTGACACATTTGTTTTCACAGCGGTACCGTTGCTTGTACGCGGCCAACTTTGCACTTCGCCTCGTGTCAAAGCAATTCGTCAGCTGATTTTCCAGGCACAGAAGAATTCCATTTATTTGAACCCGTCGGGGGGGAGCAAGCAGTTCATGCAACTGTGTAAGTAGATCGTTCATATAGTAGGAGTTTTCTGTGGTACTTGTGATTCAATAATGGACTTACAATGATTTCGTGAACATTTAGTGAATTAATTCTTTATTCATTTTGTGACAAGGATAAGTATCTTTTGTTATTCAATAGACACAAAACGTGAATATAAAATAAAGAAATTAAGTAAAATATTAATTATGGTAAACACGAAATACTTTTTATTTCAAGAAAAATGAATTCCTTTAAAGTTTGATTTCAAAAGAACGAAGACAGATCAATCGTCGGAATAATTTCCATTATTGTTGACAATCGTTTGCCAATTTTCTGGCAATACTCGATGCGACAGAAACTCGACAGCTTTGAATCAATAATGTAAATAAGGTATATAACTACCTTAAAAATTTGTAAGTTCCAAATTTTTCCCTTGACATTCCTGTCACGTATTACGATTTAGGGAAAAATTCTAAAAGGTTCATTATCGGCAGCACAGGAACTGTAGCCGTGACAGTGGATGATGTGTCATGACGTTTACATAACGGTTTTACAATGAACTTCACGCGTCGTGTGCGTAACACTGTCGTATATGTATATGTATGTCAGTTTCCGCTTTGATGGATCAATGATGGTCGAATATATAATATCGAAATGCTGTGTAAAATGAAGTCTCGAATACGGCGAGGGAAACTTGTTAATATTGAAATTGTCAAGCTTTTCTTTCAAATAAATATACGAATAATTATGTATTTTAGAAAAGATAAATAGAAAGCATACCACAAAAATTATTTCTACTTTTGTCATTTACTTTTTGTATACTAATCTTTGTACAGGTAATAATTCACAATTAAACTGATTGTTTTTAATTAAAAGTTTGATTAATTAGATTAATTACAACTGCAATGTGCCATTAAGATGACATATCTCTTCATTTCTGTTTGTACAAATAAAAAAGGATCACTCGCGATGATACTTTTATTTCAAATGACAAATGACTATTTAATTGTCGATTTATCTCTCAAAAGGTTCATGCGAATATTTTCTCTTTATGTAACTTGAAAATCATATTATTTAAACGTTAATCACGTAGCAGTAAACATAGTCATTCTGATTTCATCTCTGGATTGTATAACCTCGTTTACCTACGTTAACACAGAGATCTTGATTTTTTTTTTTATGAAGTGTGTGCAATGTTTGAATCAAAAGTATTATATAAAAAGAACTTGGAATAATGTTCTCGTCAATCACATTTCTACAACTTGAGGTGACAAAACTGATCGATTTTCTTTTTCCAGGCGTATAGAAATAAGATTCTCGTTATTTAAAACACTGTGACTGACGTTTTTGTTAGAGTAGAGAAAATAACGCAATATGGAAAACGAAAGAAAATAATTAAACAAAATTGCATTTATTGGACGATTAGAGTCGCGCACGTGTGACACACCGGCATAAGTGGTTAAACGATTGAATAATTGTTTTTATAAAATAATGGAAACAACGATTACTTTTCCTTCACTTTTAAAAATTCTTTTTAAATAACCTGTAACCATTTTTCAATTTAACATGATTAAAGAATAATTTCAAGATCTTTCAAGAATTATACAGTTGCTTGTAATAAAAATTGATATTTAAGGAACAGAAAAAATTAAGGGTTCAATAGCCCTACTGTCCTGTGATACACTTAAACTAATAATGATATATTACTTAAACAAATAGACAACAGTCAAATCTGAATAATAAAAATTCGTCAATAAAGTACAAAATCCCAAAAATTTAAATTTACGATTTAAAAAAATTTTCTTAAATTTAAAAAAATTATTTAAAATACACCTAAAATATTTTTTCAAGAGCCGCTATACCAAAGTAGCGTCTTCAGGCTGAAAAACTTTGTCGGTGCAATTCGATAATAATCATAGAGAACAAAAAGATCTATTTAGATCACAAAATCACAAAGATCTTTAATATTTATCGTTCAACCTTCGAACCAGGGTCTTCTCAGTCTTCCGAAGTATACCACTTCCTCATCTTTAATTCACTTTTTCATCGGTCTCGGTTTCCACGTTCTGCAGATTTATCGATCACGTCGATCAAATCGGTCACGTTGAGATGTCGAATGTCACGGAAAGATATCGATTGGAAATGGTTGCGTGGTGTATCACGGAAAAATGAATAATTCAGATCAGCTCGTGTGACGGAAACAGCGAAGTTACGCGATGGTAATTAAGCATGGCAGAGTTACACAATGCGCCTACGCGACAGATACAACTCATTACTCAAGCGTTCGATCTTTTTTCTTTTTTTTTGCCGTTTTTATTGTGATTTATTGAAATTCGCAGCTGCAGTTCGTTAGCCTGCTGCAATTTGCATCGTTAACGTTTCTATAACCCCCTTCGAGTCAACTATTGTGAATCATTTCTGTGCTTTAATAATTTTCGAGTTATTTAAAAATGTCTGGTAAATTATTTCTATTCAAAGATGAATCTAGATATTGTGATAAATCAAAAATATTGTATTCTAATGTAATATTAAAAATTCTATTCTAAATTGAATTAATATGAAATTTAAAAATATTAAATTCTGTAATTTCATTCCTGGAATACGACGAAGTAAAGTAAAAATTCATCCTGTTCAGCTGTTAATTGTTGAATTAGTTCACGTATACCAATTCCTATTAGCACAAAGATTTCAATGTATCGACAATACAGATGAAAAATTTCAACGGTTCATTTGTCAATTAGAAATTCATATTTGCACTTCTTCTTACGTAAACTGTTTCACAATTTCGCTGCAAACATCGAAAACTTAATCTTCAACGAAGTAACGTACCCACCTAAATGCAAAGAAACATAAACTATTCTAAGAATATCGCGTTCGAATCGTATTCAATTATGCAGAAATACCATCGCAGAATATTGGAAACTTCATTGTGCCGTGCAAGTAAATGCCATTGTGCAGCACGTTTGTTCGTTTAAATTTATTGTTTCCTTTGCCAGATCGGTGAATGTTTCCAAAGCTCTCGATAACGCGAGTCGCGCTTACGAAGTTCGAGAAGCAGTCTGTAAGCTGACTCTCGAATATCAATTCGGTGTTTTGCAAACAAACCGATAGAGATGTGTTTTAATTTTACAACAGGCATTGCTGCTCGCTTATTCACCTTACAGATCGAACGATACAGCTGTAGCTGAAGACTTTCGCGAGAAAATCTGTCAAGTCACCGCGTAAGTTCGTGTCGAATTTTACAATTTAGATCGATTTTCCAAGAAACCTTTAACCCTTTGCACTCGGAGATCGTTTTGCTACAGAAAAGTTTACAAATCGGATGTTTGAAATTTTTTTAAATTAACGCAGAAATAAACTACACAATTTTACTTAAATATTCAACGTATTCTCTGTTTCACTATAATGAACAAATTTCTAGAGGTCCCATAGATCTGTTCTATGACGATGAAGCGACGATTATTTAATGCCGCTTCTCAGTAACTACTCGATTACAAAGGGTTAAATTTGATTTAAAAAAAAAAGAAGAAAAAGAAACGTTCGTTCAATGAAAATGAAATCTAACTAGCTCAGCAGCCATGTCCGAGTGAAATACAATGGCGAAAGGTTATTTTGAACGTATCAAGAAGATATTGGGAAAAAGGTGTGTGATATATTAAAGTTCTTATTCGAGAACTCCTATGAATTATTCAAGTGAAATAGTGCATTATTAAGTAGTCAAAACAACACATAAAAACTTACGTCCGATGCATTTTAATAACCTAATTGCGACACCACGACCTTCAAACGACCTTAAGTTCAGAAATGTTGAGATCGAGCAAAGTGTTTCAATTAATGAAACATAAATGACGTTGTTTTATTAACCTCGTTTCGACTTTGTTTCATTGAACCGTGAAGTCGAAAAGAAAGAAAGGAACACTGCTTAAAGTAAGTATCGGTGAGCTTCGAATAATCTTGAAAATGACATTTAAACAGAATTATCTTTTCAAACAATCCGTCGTTCTTAATTAACATATTTTTCTGTGTTCAAAACAAGCGAAACTATTTCGGGACTCTCTTTCTCGCGACTCACCCTGTATACACTTGCCATTTCTCGTTATTATACTCTTCGAATTACGTTATTGCACATTTTCACCCGAAAATTACACCTTTTCTCACTTTTACCCAATCTCTTTCTCTGCAAAGAGCATTTTACCACCTTTCATGCCGCTTTACGCTCCTCCTCTCATTCACTCCGCGCAAATGTTCACAAAACAAACGCTCGTCAAAGCCCTCGGATGCGTCGGTGTATTTCAACGTGCACAAGAGAATCACCGCGTGAATTTATCAATGCATCTCCACGACGAGATTTACTTTC